CAGCGGTGCTGCCAGCCCTGGCTCCCTGGCTTGATCCGACAGGACAGGCAGAAGTGCAAGCCAACAGAAATACCAGGCCATAATTAAATGGGGAGGATTTCTGTGTTACATGTAAAAAACTCAGGTAATTCCTGACAGGTAATTCCTGTGTGCAGGAGAGCCCCACGGCCAAAAGTGTCGGGTCAGTCCACATTCGTGGGTGGTGAGTTCTGCCTGGGACTAAAAGTCGTGTGATTGCAGAATGGATAAGCTCTGCGTGGCAGGAGTTTGGGTAAGAGCGTGCAGGTTTAGACCCTGCTCATGAGCCAAAGTGGTACCAATATGAGGTACCCATCTAATCCCCCCCCTATTTACAAGAAGCCTAGCAAATGCACACACAAAAAAGCTTATGTTAAATGACTATTGTTAAAGGTCCGAAGTAGTCAGAAGTTGCAAAACTTCAGAGTTCCAGTTGCTAGTCCATACCCCAGCGCAGTCGCCTGTTGCATGGGCTTTACGATGCAGCCTGTAGTTACAGGATTACATTTTTTTCCCTTGAGAGGTTGTTTCTCTCAGTGCTTGAGAATGATGGATCTTGGAGGATGACACTGCTCTGGGTAAGGAAAGAGGCAGATTAATTTGCTGCAGAAGTTGGAAAACACGCTGCATGGCACAGGCAGTAGCAAGAAGAGGAAGGCTGCTCTCGTGGAGCGGCGATGGGTAGCGGCTCTGCGTCAGCCGGAGCTGAGGTAGGTGCTGGATAGGTCACTTAAGCTCAGATTTTTGCAGGTAGTTGCTGGCTAATTCGGTCTGTCTGCCCTGAGCCCACGAAGGTCTGGTGGAAGGGAATATGGGTTAAATGTTCCTAACTACAGCTGAAATAAATGGGAGCTGTAATTTGAGCATGTGCTGCAGTACAAGGCGTGCTCTGAAAAAAATCACCCTTGGGTGTTTCAGCGAGACACCTAAACTTAATGGATGTTTTTTGACCTTAATCTTTGGGTAATATCTCTCCTTCATCTCAGAGAGAGACTGTGAAAATAAATTAACGTTTACAAAACACTCATATTCTATAGGGGTAAGAGGCATAAAACGGTCTACAGCTAAATGAGTAATGCCACCCTCAGAGCGGGATCTGTGTATCATGAAGTAAGTAACGCCTCGGGCAACAGGCTGAAGAAGGAATGTGAAACGAAAGGCTGAGTACCTGGCCAGGATCCGTGCCGAGCAAGGCAGCGGTCCCCTGGTATGGAGAGAGACCGCTTTGTAACTCATGTGCAAAACACGGGTAAATTAAGGGCACTTAATTTAATATTAAGTGCACTTGCACTTAATAAACTGCAAGTTTACGGTGTGCGTTCTACCAGCGTATGAAATATGTCTCTAGTAAAAGGAGTGGTGGATCAGCAAGTGAGTTGGTACGGTTAATGCCCTCCAGTTGTTTCATATATTTCTGACATTACTAGGAAGAAAACGGGGACTGACTGCCCTTTGCCTGTTCCTGTTGCTCTGTGCTATAGTTGTTGCTTGGTTTGCAAAATAAATGTCAAATTGCTTTGGTTGTTACGCCCGAGGTTGCTACTGCAAGCTTCTGCCGGGGGAGATCCTAGGTGTCCCAAATGAGACAACGGTGGGCAGCTTTCTCCCCGTGGGCCTGTTTTAAACTTATTTTTCCGCAGCTGGAGGCGAGCGTTGCTGTGGAGGTTATCAGCGTCACTGCTGCCAGGCTGCCGGCAGATGGGCAGTTTTGCTGAGTGTCCTAGAGATGGAGGGGTCAAAGGATCCAGTTGGTCCACGACAAAACCTTTTTGGGGGACAAATCCAGTGTCTATTCTTTGCTATCTGTCCTAACACCCAGGTGTGGGCACAGCCTGTGAACTCTGGGTAGGGAGCTCATGACTTCAGAGGTGCCTGACCTGTACCTATGGGGATGGGTCTGCAAACCAATCCTCTAGAATTAGAAGTGATCGCCTCAAAAGCTAAATTTGATGCTAATCTGTATATATTTGCAGGGATATTAGCATTCCTCAAGATGCTGCTGCTGCAGAAGCAAAGCCAAAATGCTTAAATTCTTTTTTTTCCAGCAATCAGTTTAACTTAACTTTAAATCGCTATTCAGAACTGCTAAGGATCAAAGTTTATCTTTAATAAATGAAATTTGAGATTTTCTCTTTATAATTCTTCATTTTCAAGCCAGGGAATAATGGCTTCAGGTTTAAGGGACCCAGTTATTTAGATAATGCCATGGAAATAAGTAACATGGATATTCTGCAGTCCCGGTCTAGGGATTATTTCAGGTTTATGCAGATTAATAAACTTTTCATTTTTATAAATTGATACGCTAGGCGTGAAGTAATTTGAGCTTGCACACATTTATCTAAACTGGTGCAAAAGACAAGCAGGACTAGCTTCTGGAAATAACGGAGGGTGAGAAGATTAACTTTTTCGTAGCTCTTTGTCACTCATGATACTCAAGTTATAAAAGTGTCTTCTGCAAACTGCATTTTCAAAGTAAATGCATTCACCATATGAAAGATTGCAGAATAGCTGTGTTTTGTGAAGGGAAAAGAATTACTTTCTTGATGTAATTGTTCAATTACATTGGATCTCCCCACATCTTTTCTTTATTGTTATTAACTAATAGTAATGAAATAATAAGTTTATGAACTTTGTCTTTAGCAATTACTAATTTGTAACCTGAGTTCAGTTGATGGGAAGGAACTGTTTTTATTAGATTGATTTCCAGATAGAGTTTTGATTAGTGGCTGACATACGTGTCTGTGCATTTTCTTAAGAAGAAAAAATATTTCTTAAACAAAACCTTCCTATTTTAATCTTGACAGGAGAAATAATAGCCTTTGAAATGTGCAGTTATTGGCATTCTAGATGAAGAATAAAACCCTGTGAGAACTTGTCAAATAATAATCACAAACGTCTTCTAAAATTACTTCAGGGTCAGCTTTCAAATAAATTATTTGCAGGTGTATTTTGGCATCATGCAAATAGGTCAAATAAATTATTAATCTTTTTTTGCCATTAGGCTAAATAATTTATTCATATCTCCAGTATCCAGTGGCTAACCTTGGTACCTGTGAAATGTTCTCATTTCTGAGTCCAAGCTGAGCATGAGTTGGTAAATTAGGCAGGTGGATAATGCTGTAACTAAACTTAACTTCCACTAAAGATTCTCATCTTCAATTGGGCTAAAACATGACTGTGATCACGTGGCTTGATTTAGATGTGGGCCAGGGTTGGCTCTCAATAATCATTTCATGTTTTTACTCATTTATAATCTTTCTGTCTTCGTGTATCTTATTTTTTTATAAGCTTATGGCTGTTGCTTTGAAATCTGGTAAGTGTCTGAATGTCTTGAAGCGTATCGCCTGCCCTCGGAGTTCAAGCCAAATGACCGAAGTGGGCCGGGCATCCCCTCTCCTCCTTTGCGCTGGCACTTGTCGTTGCTCAGGCAGTTAAATCAGCGGTGTATGACGTGCTTTGTGATGGGAAAAAAAAAACAAAAAAGAGAGTTTTCTGCTGGCTGAGCTGTCTGACCCTGGGTTGGGATGAGCAGTGCGGGGAGCCTGGGGCTGGAAGGATGGCAGCAGCACCGGCTTTGGTGGCTTGAAGTTGCGGGGGAGCTGTAATCTCAGCTGTATTATCACGTGCACAGCCGATTAAACGCTTGGCATGGTCCCCATTTCCTTCCAGAGTTAGTGTCAGCCTTGCCATCTCCTCCATCCCATGTCTGATCTCATCACCCCTCCGCTCACATTGCTCTGCTGCCTCACCTGCCCCCAGATGTGCACATCTGGAGTAAAGCAGCTGGTTCACAGCTAGTCCCCCCCCTCTCCTTTTCCTCACCCCAAATCCATGTCACCAGCTTTGGTTTCACTCATTTTGTGTTCCCCTGGTGAGAGGTAGAGGTTAAACATTTCACCTAGTTATCAGAGTGAAAAAAAAACTTCCAGGTGGGCAGAGAGAGAGAAGAGTAAGGAGGCAACAAAAGCCAGCTGGGATTTTCTTTGGGCTTTTTACACCCATCAAGGGACTTACCTCCTGATGGGGCTTTTCAAACTGGTGCTCTGTGTTGCACATTTTATTTATAATGAGCATTTAGGTAAAGGGGATATTTTTTGAATGAAGTGCCTTGCTTTTTCGAGAGCTTGGTATAAGCAGGCTGTGGGACTTTGATCAGCCTTGCAGCAGGAGTTTATAAGTTGGTGTTTTTTTTTTTAAAGTAAGACATGAGCAGAAAGAAGCAGGTGAAGACACATGGCAGTTTTTCTTAAAATAATTTCCAGTTTGCCGCCAAATTATCTCCAAGCAGAGGATAAGCTTTGGGGAGATTAGTTCGATTTGATAAATGATTTAGGGCAGAGGTAACAGGATTTTATAGCTCATATCCATCCTACACAGTGTGGGAATTAGGGATGCGTAGCATTTATTTCCTCAATAGCTTTACCGCTTAGTAAGCCCTCCCGTCTGAAGTGACTACAAATAAAGCGCTTTTTGGTGTAGTACCGTTAGTTTATCGATATCGGATATCAGCTCTTGTAGTTTTAAACTGAAACCATGTTATGTGGCTGTGGCTACTTGCAGAGGACTTGCAAAGGCAGCCCAGCGGGAGGGTGGGAGTTAACCACATTCAGCATCCAACAGGCTGCGATAAACGCTGTCCCTTCTGTTTTCAGAGGCTGCACAGCGGAGTCCTCAGAGATCTTGAGCGTCAAAGTCAGAAAAAGGAAAATATTCGCCTGCTAGAAGAGCAGATTGCTTTGACAAAGCAGCTGATGGAAGAAAGGGACAAGGCGCTAATGGCAAAAGGGTCCCGGCAGTCCTAGGCACAGTCCTGGGTCGTTAGAGGCTCGATTAAAGACGTTTGGAGATCATTGGTATCTAACTACTTGCAAGTGTTTCAGCAAACAGAGGTAATCTGTGAAAGACTGTTTCTTTTGTAAAGGTTATAATCCAGACCCAAAACATTTCCTCTGTCATCGGTACTTTGACTGTGGGGACCTGGCTGGCACATCCAGCGTGGATGGACTTGTCAGTGCGGGGGTGGGAATAGCTCCTTGTTATGCAAACACCATCTAGGATGGCTAATAACGTTCACATGAGTGGGCTGCTGAGCCGCCACGATGATGAAGCCACTAGGACCTCCACCTCAGAGGGCTTGGAGGAGGGTGAGGTGGAAGGAGAGACTCTCCTCATTGTCGAGTCTGAGGACCAGGCTTCGGTGGACCTATCGCACGACCAGAGCGGGGACTCTCTGAACAGCGACGAAGGTGACGCGTCCTGGATGGAGGAGATGTCCTATTACTGCGAGAAGTGCCAGAAGTGGATTCCAGCAAGTAAGTCTGCCAGTTGTGTTGCGTCTGGCTTGCATCACTGGGGTGGTTGTTTGCAAGGTGGTTAGGCTGTCCTGCGTAGCGGGTTTACGGGGCAGCCCTTGTTCGGCTGTACGCCCTCCGGTGTTGGAGGAGAAGTGCTGGCTCGGCGTTGCGTGGAGCCCAGCAGCCTGATGCCAGCGGTGTGCGTTAGGCACATGAACTGTGTGGGTGTCCGAAGCTGGCACTCCCTGGAAAGAAATGGGACTGTCCTCCTTAATGAATAAAGAACAAGGGTATGACTTCAGAGGCGTGCACGCCCTCCTGAGTCTTGCCACCGGCGTGTTTAGGGGACTTTGGCCAAGCGACTTGGCCTCTCTACTCACCTAGATAATGACCCTTGCTGTAAAGCTGTTCCTGTGGAGGAAAGGGCTTTGTGATGGTGTTACTTTTTCTTTATTTCCCCCCCCCCCGGTCAGTTTGTCACGTCTGTGGAGCGTATGGATAAATCTCAACCTTAGTGGTTTCCCAAATTTAATTTAGCTTTCGCAGAAGCGTGTCCAGCCTGTAGCAGCTAGCTTTGCGAGGCGTTTGGAGCAAGCTGCAGAACTTGATCCCTCTCCTACTGCTGCTTGACATAAGATATATGCTTTTAGCAATGTAACAGACTAGACTTTACTTTCTAAATTCTGGATTACCACATCTATTATTAGATCAGAAAACCTATATATTGCTAGGCGCTGCTTGTTTTTTTGTTTTGTTTTGTTAGTTTTTTAAATTTTTGGTGGGGTTTTTTATTTGTTTGTGGCTAGAAAGAATGAACTTTTCAGGTGGCGCCTGCCTTGCAGATATGTCAGAGCTGCCCGTTTTGCCATCTTAGAATTTGTCAAAAGTTACAGCGCAGATATCTCTCGAGGCATATTAGTGAGTGTTTTGATGTTAATATAACGGAACCAGCATCGTACTATTAAGGTAGTATGCAGTTAAAGGGACATATTAACTTGAAATGTATTAATAAAAAAAAGGATTGGAGTTAAAGGTAGCATGAGATATCTTATCTTACAGCACTTGATTTAACACTCCATTTTTTTTTTTTTTAAATTTTACAAAGATGTTCCTTTCTGTCGCTGTAGAACAAATCCAAAGAGCAGAAAAAGCCTATCACAAAGCAACAGTAACTACACACAAATGTGCAAAGTAAACGAGCTGGAAGAGGGAAATACTGTTCTCTTTGCTAATTGTTCAGTTACATGGATAGCAGTTGTCACTTGTGAAAATCACCAACATGCTCAGACAAATGATCACTTTTTACATTGAATTGACACGTAGAAATTCTGTTAATCTATGAGGTGTGGGGTTTTTTCCCCCATCAGGCATAGGTGCAATTTTAAAAGTTAGATTCTGCAATTCACTATGCAAACAAGAGCATCCATATATACACATGCTTCATCTGGGGTTGTTATACAGTAAAAGAGTTGTCATACTTTTAGAGAAAGACCTATTGTGTGTGAATTTTCAGAAATGCAGTAGTCTTAACTGTTTCCCTGTCCTGTGACTTTATATTTTAATTTTTCATATTTGTGTAAACATGAAACCCTGGTAAGTTTAGAAGTCCTGATTCATGTGATTTTTTTTTTTTCCCTCTCTGCTGCAGAAACATAGAATTAGAGCCTGTAACTTTGGATGTGTGGGGTTTTACAGGTGGCTCCATCCCAGCAGATCCCTTTTGTTCAGACAAACTTTTATGCAGGGTTAGCTTGTCACAGCAAAGTATGTGCTGAAGAGCTTTGCTGATTTGGGATCTATGCATCAACTGCAGTAAAGAAAAAGTGTTTCCTGATAATGTTGGGCCATTCTTTTGGCTCTCAGTCTCAAGGAAAGAAGATCTTCCCCTGACTGGGGAAATAAATACCTTAAAGCTTCACAACACGTCTGCTGCAGTGCATCCTGGAGGCTGCTGTAAACAGGCAATGGCAACCTTATTTTAATAACAATTTGTGG